TCCCTCAGCTCTTCAGCTCAAGGCGAGCGCTCTACCACTTGAGCCACAGCGCCACTTCCGGTTTTCTGGTGGTTTATTGGAGATAGGAGTCTCACGATCTCTCCTGCCCGGGCTGGCTTTGAACCTCGATCCTCAGATCTCAGCCTCCAGAGTAGCTAGGATTACAGGCGTGAGCCACCAGCGCCTGGCTTCCCTCAGCTTTTTTCTCCACAAGGTTGGTACTCTACCACTTGAGCCACAGCTCCACTTCCAGCTTTTGCTTGTTAATTGGAGACAAGAGTCTCACTGATGTTCCTGCCACGGCTGGCTTTGACCCACGATCCTCAGATCTCAGCCTCCTGAGTAGCTGGGATTACAGGCATGCACGACCATGCCAGGCTAAGCACTCATGTTATTGAGACAACTATTTACAAAGGTTCAGCTCCCTCTGACAGAAACCAGAGAAGCAACAGCCACAATTGCTGGGCTGCATTGTGTCCAGCAGAGGGCGCCAGGTGCTTTCAGCGTTGTAAAGTGGTTCCCCTTCCTTTGGGCAATAGTAGGGACCGAAGGGAGGGTTGAGGACTCCCGGAACAGCCTGCAGCCCACTTGCGGCCTGGCTGCTTAAATCAGCTTTAGTAACAAATCAAAGGCGTCTCATTCCCCCCACCCCCCAAACTATCCCCGAGAGTCAGGCCACAGAACTGCGCTGTGTCGGGTGTTTTTAGTACATGTCTGAAAATCTCTCCTTTCCTCTTGCCCCACCCCCCACCCCTATCAGATGCTTCTGAGGAGCAGAATTCACAGCCTTCGCTGGAAAACTCGAACAGCTCAGAGAAAGCAGATCGGCAGCCGTCCGCAGAGTCGGGGCTGGCAGCGGACACATGCACAGTCTCTCAGGTAGCCAGGTCTCAGGCGGCCCGGCTAGTGGGGGCCCGGGCTGGCGGGGGCTGGGCGGAGGCTGAAGGCACTCACTGCTATTGGACCGCACATCGCTGCCAAGACAAATCCCCAGAAATCTAAAGGCCGGGTCACCCTTTGGAATTTGACATGTGGCCCCCTCCCCTGGGGGGCGCCGGTGGAGAAAAAGGGGGCTCCAAGACGGGGGTGACGAGGTGGATATTTTAACCTTTGTGGGGGGCGTAGCGGGAGTCATGGGGCTTCTTCTTCCTCCAGAATAATGTGACACGTCCATTCAGTAAACACTCAGCTTCCGCCCTGGGCCTTCGGGAGACGCCTCAGAGCTGGTGCAGGTGACCCTGAGACGCACACAGATGGCTTCCCTCCCAGCCCGGGACACGGGAGGCCTGGGCCGGGAGCATCCCTGGCCCTGCTCGGGCTGGGCTGGTGACACAGGACTTTGTGGATGGCCAGAACATTTGGGTGTGAAAATGCTTTATTGACCAGTGTCCCCCCCCTGCCCCCCAGGATTTGGAAGGAGCCCCGCCCTCTAAAAAGATGAAGCTGGAGCCTTGTCAACAGAACGCGGAGGAGATGTAGGCGCTGAGTTGAACCCTCTGGTCCGTGTTCATCAGCAGGTTTTATTCTAGAACAACGGTGCCCGAGCGATTCTTCTTGGGCGCAGACAGAACTACTAACATTTCAAGTTTACCAAGTGCAAATCCAAGAAAACCTAGAACGGCGTAACTTCTCAAGACACTGAAGAACTGCTGTGAAGCAAACCCCGAGCCTCCCCGGAGGCAGGCCACGGCTCAGGAGCGTCCGCACACTGCCACGGAAGCCGAGATTCCATTTGTGTTGCTGCTGTATCCCCTCCCCGTCTCTATTTAACGAAATAAGCTATGCGAGGGTGGTACCAATCAGGAATTCGCTTTTCATCCGGGGCTTTTCACTGTTCAACCAATTCCTTCCGCTTTCTTTTTTTGTGCCTTGTGCCCTTGAGGTGACCTCTGGCATGTTCTCTAGGTTTTTTGCATCTCTTTTTGCAAAATGCCCCCTCCTTTTGGTTGAGGCGGCAACTGCCATACTCCTCTCCCCTCTCCCCCCTCTCCCTCCCTCCCCTCTTCCCCCTCTGCCCGAGGAACAGGCAGGGTTGGAGCCACAGTGGCGCAGGTGCCCCTTGGCTGGCTTGGTTTCAGGGGGTGGTGCTGGGCCTGCCCTGAGCCCTGGGTGGGGTGAGGCCCAGCCCCCAAGGACTGACCTCCTGGGCCCAAGCGGGGTGGCCCAGAAGGGCATGCCGAGCCCTTAGATTCTGTTCCCGCTTCCCCTCCTCGCCCTCCCCCACCATCACCGCCACCCCAGCACCGCTTTTTCCCAGGCCTCCGAAGACAAAGTGGCTTCTCTGGCTGAGCTAGCCAGCGGCAGACGCAGACGCTGCGGGGCTGGGGCAGCGGGGCGCGCGGGCAGGCGGGCGGCAGGAGTGGCTGGTGCTGAACTTCCTCACAGGGACAGATGTTGCGTGGATTTCAAATCCACGGAAACCTGCCGCCCTCTGCCCCGCTCCCTGGGCAAAACCGCAGCCGGCAAGCCCGCTTGCTCCCGCGTCCTGTGCTGACCCCCAGAGCCTCATTCCTAGCAGCGCCGCCGCCGCGGCAGAGCCGGCCTTGAAGATTGGGCCTTAAAGGCCCAAAACCAGGCACAGAGGAACTGGAAAGATTTGCACACCCTCCAGAAAGGAGCAGCCGGATCTCCATTCCCATCCCGCCCAGGCCAGGCGGGGAGGCGCCCGTGGAGACGCACGGTCCTGGTGGAACGGCCTGACTGCTGAGTCTGAGGCCCGGTTTGCTTTTCATGAATATACAGACTCCTCAGACCTTTAAGCCTTTTCCTAAGCTTTCTTTACTGCACTGGAGTTCTGACTCCCTTTTGAGTTGTTGTGTTACTGGGGGTGGGGGCAGGGCCTGTGGGTTCTGGTTTTCGTTCTTGTTTTTGTTTTGCTAATTGGTGCATAATGCAGGTACCACCTTTGATGTGTGGATCTTTCTCTCCCGCAGCCAGGTTCCATTTTTCTAAGAGTTTCTGAGGGTGAAGCTCCTTGATTTTTTTTTTTAATTTTAAAGGGAGCTTATCTATTTCCTGCACTTCAAGAAGAATCAAAATGTTCCTGAATTTCAAATACCTCATGCGAAATGTCTCCTGAAATAAGGGAAAAAAAAAAACTTTGAAAATCTTCAATGTTAAAGTTAACAATGCTGAAAGGTTTTTGTCTTAAAGGAAAAAAAAAATCCTTGTACTTGTCCACTGGGCCCGTGGGGCAGTCAGTTCTGCGGGGAGCTGCTGTGTATCTTGGCCGAGGAAGCCGGGAGACACGCGACCTCCGAAGGATCTCAAGGTCAAGTCGAGGCAGTTTTGGATCCTAGAGAGCTAGGGCAATGTTTTGCTTTGCAGCGAAACTCCATTTTGACGAAAGATGAAATGAGGATATTTATTTCTTTTTGTTTAACTATTTTTATTTTTGGAAAATGAGAAGGTTACGAGAGAGAGGGCTGCCAGGGAAGCCAACACACCCATCCCTAGACCATCCCTAGACACGGCCGGCCCAGGGCTGCCTTCCTCCGGGACAGGCGGGGGGGGGGGGGGGGTTGGCGGAGTCCGGGAGTCTGGGCCGCAGGCGATGATCCCCCGTGCCCAGGCTGTCATTCGTTTTTCTCTGAAGTGCCTGAAGGTAGGAATGGGCCAGCGGTGGGGACCAGGTGGCCCCATCCCCAGCCACGCCAGGCAAAGCGCCAGCAGCCCTGCCCTCCATGCTGGCCGGGAAGGCCTTCCACGCGGAATGGTCAGACTGCAGAATCCTACGTGCTTCCTTCCCTGCTGCAGCCGCTGCCCCGCCCCGCGCCCTCGCCCGCTCCCCCACAGAACCCAAGACCTTTCAGCCGGCCCGGCCGGGGCGGGGGTCCTAAGCAAATGCCTTCCATGGACATCAGGCCCAGTGGCCTCAAGGGCTCCCAGGGCAAACTTAACCCCCCCCCGAAAAAAACTTGAAAGTGGGGGAGCTGTGGCTACACATTCCACAAAGTGCTGGCACTTAACACCCGTCGCCCAGAAGGCCCTGGGCGGATCTGTAGGGTGGTGTCACGGTTCGGAATGTGCTTCACCGCCGAGGACCTGGTTAGAGGTATATGAGACCTTATTTTCACCGTTCCTTGATTTGTTGTTTCTTTCCTCTTAAGGTCTTTTTTTTTTTTTTGGCGTGTTGTACAGCAGTATAATTTTTCACTTATTTATTCCATCCAGTAGATACGATTTGTACAATGTACAATGGTTCCATTTCGGAGAATAAAAAAAAAATAACTCAAACCACGAGTACATTGTTTTTGTAGTTTTACAGTATAAAGAGGAGGAAGTGTGGGAGAAATGTCCCCTCCCAGCTGCCGTAGCGCTGCACAGCTGCGGCTACACATCCAGACTGCTGGCCTGGGGAATTGCCCTGGTATCTGCCATCATCAGGCACCAGTGGGTGCCAGGCCAGCCACCGCTGCTCTAACGGGACAGGTAGGCGTGGCGCTGGTCACCCTTGGGTAGCTAAGATGACCAGCCAGTGCCCCACTCAAAGCTGTTCCTGGATCCAGGGTAGAGCGCAGTAATAGGGTGCGTGCCTTGCACCCTTGTGTGCAGTCATCCCTAGCATGCAGAAAGCTTATAAAAATAGCTAGACAAAAGCCACCCCCCACTTTCACACACGCGCACTCTCCAGGCCTGCTCTGGCGTGGTGCTTGTTTGCTGCATTCTGGATGTGCGGCTCTGGCCTTCAAGGTTGGGAGTTGGGAGCTGGGAGTGTGGGGAAGCCACTGGTGGACTGCAGCCTTGTGTGGTTTTCCGGGCATCAACTCCTGGCTGGAACCAGAATCTTCTGTCCTGTTCTTGGCCCTCCTTCCTGCCTGGATTTTCTTTCTTTTTAATTTCTGCTTTGGTACTCACTTCCTCTTCCAGCCAAAACCCGGCTGCGGCCTGGTGAGCCTCCTCAGGCGGGGGTGGCCAGACAGTTCTGGGACGGCTGGCCGAGGCTCCCTGTTGGCCAGAACGGCCCATCCGTGTTGCTCTGCTTGCCTCTCCCCCTTTCCAGTCTTTCCCAACACACTGCAGTGTCTGTACCGGAATTGGTCGTTCAGCCCTGTCGGCTCCTGATAGGGGAAGTTCCGCTGGACAAAACACAGATCACAGGACTGACTTGCTCAACAGTAAGAAAGGAAGAGCCGCCGTGAGCGGCTGCGTTCCTGTTCTGTGTCCACGGCTAATGCTCTGGGATCATGGCCTTCCTTGCTCTCTGTGCGTCTCCAGCCCCAGGGCCTGAGGCCCCGGAGGAGCGCTGCTTCCCTCTCAGGGTCTCTCCTGGGCTCCTGTCTCCCTTGGGACACTGGTTCCCACAGATGCCCCGAGTGGCATGGTTGGCTTTCTCTCTCTTCTTGGTGGACATCACTGAGCTGCGCATCCAAGGGGCGCTCACAGTGACAGTACATATGACTCCTCACGGCCCAGCATGGCGGCGGGGAGCAGACAAGCCACCTCCCCCACTACACAGAACGTAAAACCGAGGCCAGGGGGTGATGGGAAAAGTTCCTATAAAGGTCTGTGGCTCACATACTCAATTCTCAGGAGGCTGAGATCTGAGGACTGGGGTTTGAAGCCAGCCCAGGCAGACAGATCTGAGAGACTTATCTCCACTTAACCAGCAACATGTTAGCAGTGGAGTTGTGGTTCAAGTAGTACAGTACCAGCCTTGAGTGAAGATGCTAAGGGAGGTGTGAGGCCCTGAGTTCAAGCCCCAGTACTGGCGCACACACACTCACACACACGCTCACACACACAATCACACCCACCCAGCACTGGCGCGCACACACTCACACACACGCTCACACACAATCACACCCACCCAGAGCTTTTATAGAATTGGAGCACAGCCAAATGCATTTATTTCCATATCACCTCTAAGTTGATCATAGTACTGAAGAGCTGAGAAATGGCAATAAAAACTCTAGCCCCAGAGTTGAAAAGACTTTTCATACAGCCCTTTCGGAACATTTGTAACCCTTGCCCTACACTATGCTTTCCCCTGTAGTGGAAAGAATAACTGACGTAGGGGTGGGGCCCACACCTGTAATCCCTGCACTTGAGAGGCAAGAAGAGTTAGGGGCCATCCCAGCCATGCTGGGCTGTCTAGTGATATCCTGTCTCAGAAACAACAATAGAACAAAAATTGAATCATACATTTAAAGTGGGTGAATTTAAAGAAAATGTAAGTTACTCTATCTCCATAAATTCCCCCCCAAAACCACACTCATCAGTTTCTTTACCCCCCCCCATGTCCCTATCTACTGCCTACTTCCTGTGTTTGTGCTGTTCCCAGAAGACAGGGTGTAGCCAGGCACCAGTGGCTCACGCCTGTCATCCTAGCTACCCAGGAGGCAGAGATCTGAGGATCATGGTTCAAAGCCAGTCTGGGCAGGAAAGTCCATAAGGCTCTTATCTCCAATAAACCACCAGAAAACTGGAAGTGGCGCTGTGGCTCAAATGGTAGGGCGCTCGTGTTGAGCTGAAGAAATGAGGGACAGCGCCCAGGCCCAGAGTTCAAGCCCCATGATGACAAAAAAAAAAAAAAAAGATAATCTGTGTGCAAACTGGGGTGGGGGCTGATCACCCCCCAGAACTCATGGCCCCCTGCTCCATAGTAGGTAGCTGGGGGGGCGGGGGGCGGGGGCGGGGGGGGGCATGGCGTGAAGTATCAGATCCTGTTTGGCTTTGTGTATCCCACCTGCCTGACTCCAGCTACCCAGCCACGCGCAGCGGATACACCGGCCTGAACTCTTTCTCCCCAGAGGTAGCGGCTGCCTTTCAGTGTCTGCACTTGTTTATTTTCAAAGGGACGCTGCCAGACCGCACGGCCTCCCCTGCCCTTCATGGTTTGTTTTAGGCAGGAGATTTCAGGAAGACAGAGGAGGTCGAAGCCAGCAACAAACTCTTCTGTCTGCCAGAGGCCGCCCTCCCCTGCCTCCCCCCCCCCCCCCCCCCCGTCAGGTTAGAGGGCAACATCTGGCAGGTGGCTCAACTGCCAGTGAGAACATCCCCTCAGCCCCAAGAATCCTGAGAATAACAATCATCATCATAACAAGCCCAGCACCCCTGTGATGCCTCACGCCTGTAGTCCCAGCTAGTCAGGAGGCTGAGATCTGAGGATTGCAGTTCAAAGCCAGTCCAGGTAGGAAAGTTCTCAAGACCCCAATTAGCCAGCAAAATACTGGACTAGAGGCATGGCTGAAGTGGTAGAGCACCAGTTGCAAGCTGAAAAGGCTATAAGCAAGAGAAGGAAAAACGAAATCTCAGACTGGCAGGTAATCCTCTGATGAAAGACCTGTAACCACAATATATGAATGCAATGATAAAAAAGCCAGCATCCTTCCTTGTCAAAAACGAAGGAAACAGCAAAATATTTGCACAAGTGCTGCGACATCTAAGAAAATGGGTGGAGGGCAGAAACGCACAGAAAAGATGTTGCCTTCCATCCGCTGGGATTCTCTTCCCCCTTCCTGCAGAGCTGGGAATACAGGCATAACTCCCCACACCTAGCTTATTTATTAGCTTGTTTGTTACAATAGAGGCCACAGTAACTTTGGGGGAGAGGAGGCTAAATTGGTCTCTAATCAAGAGCCTCTAGATCTTTGCCTCCTAATTATCTGGTGTGAACCACCAACAATGGAGATCCCTTTGTTGTTGTTGCTGTGTCCTCCTCCTCCTGCTCCTCCTCCTCCTCCTCCTTTTTGATGGTATTGAACTCTGGCCTCCAACTTGCCCCCACTTGAGCCACGCCCCCCAGGCTTCCTGGCTAATCACATTTTCATTGGTTACACCCCTACTCCTGGGAAAAACCCTACTTATATATCACCCTGGTAAAGCAATAAGAGCATGGCGGATGTCAGTGGCTGCCAAGGGCTTGGGTGGGAGAGGGCCCTCCTACCCAGGGCAGGGGAGGGATGCGAGGGGGGGGCTGGTGTTGGAATGACTCCCTAACTGGATTATGACTTGACACTCTTGTCAAAATCCCTGGAACTACACGTTAAAACTATACTGTCAATTATCCCTCAATAAAACAAGACAAATAAAATGAACCCTCGTGAACTTGAGGGTCACACAGTCTGTTGAAAGCCATTTGCGTAGCTCTCGCTTCCATCCTCAAGGCAACCCTAGGCAATCAGTTCAATTGTTCTAAATTGTGAGAGACGGGCCCCCAGAGCCCCTTCCTTCTTACCTATCACCTGGGTCACGTCCCCAGTATTTGTCCGGCCATTTTCACTTTTCCCTGCAGCCTGGGGAGGAAGACTTTCCACCAACTTATTCCACTCCGGGGCACACAGCTGATCCAGAGGCTTAGCAGGGATTTCAGATTCAAACACCTGCAGCAACCCAGATAGTAAGGGAAATAAAACCAGCCTGTGGCGACAGCGGGGGGGGGGGGGGGGGGGAGACGCTGTGGAGAGCTGCCAGGCCCTGGGGTTACCTGCTCCTGCCCCGCCTGCTACTCAGGGGAAATAAGGTTCCAGGCTTTTCATTCTCCCAGTTCAAGAAAATCCTAAACTGGGTGTGGTGAGATAACAAATGAGTGTAAATCTTTGAACTCTACTTCAGAGGTGGAGGCCGAAGATCACCATTCAGAGCCAAATCTGTGACAAGAGT